TTTTTCTTTCTCATTTTTTTTTTGATAGAGTCTTGCCCTGTTGCCCAGGCTGGAGTGCAGTGGCGTGAGTGACTCGGCTCACTGCAACCTCTGCCTCCTGGGCTCAAGTGATTCTCATGCCTCAGCCTCCCAAGTAGCTGGGACTACAGGCATGCGCCACCATTCTTTCTTATACTAAGTTAGAATGTCTGTGAGAAATAATTTACTTGATTACCATTGTTAGAAGGTTTTCATTTCTTAGAATAAAGAAGTGTTTGTGAAGGTAATTATTTCAATTGCACATCCTCCAAGCTAGTTGGATTGTTTATTTGGCCCAAGGGTCTAAAACCTGAAATACTACATTCTTGGCGCAGTTCTACATTCTCACTATAAATGTAATACCTGAGGTTGCAGGAGGTCAAGGAAGAGGGAAAAACTTATTTTATGCCTGTTATTTCATCTTATCCTCTTAGAAGAAAAAATATTCTTGTTTATCTTTTGGGGAAAGGATTAATTTGAATGATCATTTTAATTCTAAGATTGAAATGGAAAAGGAAAGGTGATTTCATCAGATTTTTATGGAATATCCGCTACTTAAAGAAGCCGTAGGGCTCAGCATTTCCACTCATAGGTATATGCTCAAGAAAAATGAAAACATATATCCGCATAAAAACTTATACATGAACAATTCTAGTAGCACTATTCATAATGGCCAAAAGGTAAAGCAGTCCAAATGTCCATCACCTGATAAATGGATAAAATGTGATATATCCATACAACGGAATATTATCTAGCAATAAAAAGAAATACTGATTCATGCTATGCATTGGATTTGAAAACATGCTGAGTGGAAAAAGCCAGTCATGAAAGACCATATATTGTTTGATTCTGTTTGTATGAAATTCCCAGAACAAGGAAATCTATAAAGATGGAAAGTATGTTAGTAAATTGCTTAGGAATGGAGGAAATGGGGTGGGGCAAGGGTGGGGTAATAGCTAAAGGGTATGGTTTTTTGTGTGTATGTATGGTGATGAAAATGTTCTAAAAATAACTGGTTGGTAATGGTTGTACATATCTGTGAATATGCTAAAAACCATTGAATTGTACACTTTAAATGGGTGGAGTATATGTAGGTGAATTATATTTCAATAATGCTGTTTTTATTTTTAAAAATGTCAGGGGTTACAATGATTAATCCAAATGTGGACTTAGACAATTATCCTTCTCTGAAGAAGCACTTGCCATCCAGTTTTAGAGTACTATGTGTGTTGAAAACTGAAGCAAAGGGAGAAAATAGTAGGTTTTATAGAGGTGACATTGAGCTGGACTGTGAGAATAGTTGGGATTTGGGCCTTATAAGCAGAGGAAACAACTTGGACAAAGACCAAGTGAGAAATGAAATACAAAGTATATATAAAAATGTAACTGAATGGAATTTATTTTTTCCTGATTTTATGAAGTTTAAAAATTTAGGTTAGACTAGTGGTTTGAAGCCAGCTTTGAATGTTCATTAGGTAAAGTTATTATTATTATTATTATTTATCCCAGAGGAAGCAGTGAGAATTTTGAAGGATTTTGAGCAGAGCTATGATATTATCTGAACCATGCTTTAGAAAGATGATTATGGTAATAGTGTTTTTCGAATTCCAGAACAGATAGAGGCTGTAAGAGGAGAAGAAAAGGAGAGAGCATATGATGCCAGAGAAATGGAAAAACAGGCCAAAAGAAATATTTGAAGCAGAAATTGGGGATTAATTGAATGTAAGGGACAGGGAAAGAGAACAGTGTTAATGGGAGGTATATGTGAGCCATTTAGGGGAGAAGCCAAATAGATATTTGAAAATACGGGACTGGGGCTTGGAATAATTGTCAGTACTGTCTAGTGACACAGTATTACTTAAAACCATTAAATGGGCAGAAATTAAGATAGCAGCTTGCAGTCACACAGGGGACTTGGGAAATCCTTAGAGGAACACATTCATTTAGACATCAGAGAGAAGAGGAAGTGTAACCAGAATAATTTGGAAAAACAGAAGACAGTTTCATGGGATCCAAGAGACATTTATGAAGAAGGAAGTGGGGGTAGTAAAATGGAAGAAAATTGAAAATATCCTTTAGGTTTAATGGATGAACTTCAGGAATACTGTCTTCAGCCTCAATAGCAATGCAATATTGTAGCAGAAAAGCAAACAAAGAAAAGATAAAACTGAGAAGGCTTAATTCCTAGAAGTCTTAGATAATTTTAGAACGTATATAGAGCTTGGCAACCAAAGATGAAGAGAGTATGCATGCATTTTAAGAAAATTATGTAAAAGTGGGCCGGGCGCACTGGCTCACGCCTGTAATCCCAGCACTTTGGAAGACCAAGGCAGGTGGATCATCTCAAGTAAGAAGTTCGAGACCAGCCTGGCCAATATAACAAAACCCCATCTCTACTAAAAATGCAAAATTAGGCGTGGTGGCGCACGCCTGTAATCCCAGCTACTTGGAAAGCTGAGGCAGGAGAATCGCTTGAACCCGGAAGGCAGAGGTTGCAGTGAGCGGAGATTGTATCACTGCACTCCAGCCTGAGTCTCAAAAAAAAAAAAAAAAAAAAGACAGAGAAAGAAAATTAATTATGTAAGAAGAGTTAGTAACTATTTAGAGAGAGGATAATTAGCCTAGCATGGTGGCACGAGCCTGTCGTTGCAGCTACTCAGGAGGCTGAGGCATGAGAATTGTTTGAACCTGGGAAGGTTGCAGTGAGCTGAAATCTTGCCACCGTGCTCCAGCCTGGGCGACAGAGCCAGACTCTGTCTCAAAAAATAAAAAAAGAAAGGGGAGAGGGAGAGAGAGAAAGAAAGAAGGGAGGGAGGGAGGAAGGGAGGGAAAGAAAGAAAAAAACTATTTTATAGGAATGAATGTTTCCTGATTTGTAAGATACCTTATTTGAAACTACTTTCTTTTTTCTGAGATGGAGTTTTGCTCTTGTTGCCAGGCTGGAGTGCAATGGTGTGATCTCAGCTCACTGCAACCTCCGCCTCCCAGGTTCAAGCGATTCTCCTGCCTCAGCTGCCTGAGTAGCTGGGATTACAGGCATGCACCACCACACCCGGCTAATTTTGTATTTTTAGTAGAGACAGGGTGTCTCCATGTTGGTCAGGCTGGTCTCGAACTCCTGACCTCAGGTGATCCACCCGCCTTGGCCTCCCAAAGTGCTGGGATTACAGACGTGAGCCACCGCACCCGGCTGAAACTACTTTCTTAGAAATTTAGCAACTGGTGTTCATATGATGTCATAAGGAATATTTTAGTTTATTGGTGCTATAGTCAGACTACATTAGCAAAGTAGACATGCAAACATTGCAGTTATTGATTGGTTAGTGGTTAGGTAAAATGTGATGCTGAATTCAAGCAAGTTTTAGCTACCAATTAATCTAAAGCATTCCACAGCCACAGAATCGGAAGGAGTAACAAAAATAATGAAAACGTTCAGTTTATAAGTATAGGCATGAGACAAGAGTGGGATATTCTCAGCAAGAAAAATGTGAAAACGGAAGTCCATAGTTTTTTCTAGTTTTTTCCTGTAAGGCCTTCATCTGCAATGCTAGTCAAGCATCTAAAAATTATTCCAATAGATGTAGGTTTTAAATTGTTATATTCTTTGACCCAATAATTCTACTTCTAGAAAGCCATTCTCAAGAAAGCCCCCAAAATGTAGATAAGTAATAGGCACCAAGATCTTCTAGACTTGATAATTTTCAATAGTTCAACACAAGGTTGAAAATAGCCTTGGTTTCTGATTGTGGAGAAATGGTTGTGAATGAATTATAGCTCTTCCATAAGACAGACATTAAGCAGTCATTAAAATGACCTTTGTGAACAGTATTTGGTGACATGGCAAAATAGTCATAGGGTTAGATAAAAGAGGTGAACTATGAAATTATACATATAATGTGATCTCAGCTGCAGGCAGAAATAAATACGTGCATGGAGAAAAGTATGCCAGATTGTTAATGGAGTTTTGCCTGGATAGGATTATGGATTTTTTTTTTTCCCTTTTTTTTTTTTTTTTTTTTTGTGACGGAGTCTTACTCTGTCACCAAGGCTGAAGTGTGGTGGTGCGACCTCTCTGGCTCACTGCAACCTCTGCCTCCTGGGTTCAAGCGATTCTCCTGCCTCAGCCTTGTGGGTAGCTGGGATTACAGGTGCCAGATTTTTTTCTTAATAGTGTGTATTTCCCAGGTTTTTACATTGGGCATGTACTTCTTTAATAGATAGTTTAAAAATAATCATGCTCATGCCTGTAATCCCAGCACTTTGGGAGGCCAAGGTGGGTGGATCACTTGAGATCAGGAGTTCAAGACCAGCCTGGCCAACATGGTGAAACCCCGTCTCTACTAAAAATACAAACATTAGCCAGGCGTAGTGGCAGACGCCTATAATCCCAGCTACTCGGGAGACTGAGGCAGGAGAATTGCTTGAACCTGGGAGGTGGAGGTTGCAGTGAGCTGAGATCACGCCACTGCACTCCAGCCTGGGCAACAGAGTGAGACTCCGTCTCAAAAAAAAAAAAAAAAAAATCATCATCATCATCACCTGGAAAATGTGGAAGATTGGTTATAGGAGAGCCTAGGAAAGGAAAGGTAGAGTAATCAATGCAAATCATCATGTCTATTGGAAAAGCAATTCAAAATAGAAGCCTTACTGACAGAGAATCAGTAGCATTACCGCATGCTATCAGATTAGTGCTGTCTACTGGTAGCCTCTATTAGGTTACCCTGGACACAAACAAACCAGTGGAAGCCTCAATATAGATTCTTAAATCTAACAACACATTTGTTTCCCAGATACTGCCTGTGGAAGAGTAGTTTGCGTCTTGTAGAGCATCTTACCTTTTAAATTTGCCATCCACAAACAGATGAAGATAAAATTTTAGCTTTGTAATATTACATTTGTAAATATGTAAAACTACCACATGAGCAATTATTGATTCTTTAATTTTGCTGGTAATTATGTATTTTGTTCTTCTTTTTCCACAGGTTGCATCATAAATACAAAGGACTGAAGTTATAAAAGAGAAAAAAGAAGATTGCTGCTAAAATGAATCTGAGCAATATGGAATATTTTGTGCCACACACAAAAAGGTATTGTCTATACAACTTAGCCTTCTCCTAAGAAATGGAAAAAAATAATATTTTCTGGGTTTTTGAATGAATTTTTATCTTTGAAAGAAAAATAAAAGGGAAAGTAAAAATATTAATAAAATTGGGATAAAATATTCTTTTATAAAAATCTTTGGCCAGGCACGGTGGCTCACACCTGTAATCCCAGCACTTCGGGAGGCCAAGGCGGGTGGATCACCTGAGGTCAGGAGTTCGAGACCAGCCTGATCAAAATGAAGAAGGCCTGTCTCTACTAAAAATGCAAAAAAAAAAAAAATTAGCCGGGCATGGTGGCGCATGTCTGTAGTCCCAGCTACTGGGGAGGCTGAGGCAGGAGAATCTCTTGAACCCAGGAGGTGGAGGTTGCGGTGAGCCGAGATCATGCATTGCACTCCAGCCTGGGCAACAAGAGCGAAACTCCGTCTCAAAAAAAATAAATTAAAAAAATAAAAATAATAATCTTTGAGCTTCTATTTATTTCCTAAAATTTTTTTTCTTCTCAGTTATAGTTTACAATATGGAGAATTATTTGGTTAAAAGAAATGAGCTTACTTAAACTTTCTTGATTCCTATTGTCAAATTATTTTCTGGAAATATATATATTGTGATTTTTTTTTTGCAGTACTTTATAGTTAGATTTGAAATTACCTAAAAGGTTTTGTATCACTTCTTCTAATTACAGAAGTAATAGACTTTGCAAAAAAATTTTTTAGAAAATACATAGAAACAAAAAGAAGGAAATAAAAAATTACCCAAAATTTCAACACCTAATTTCAGATAAAACACAAGCTACAAAGAAACCCAAACTTATAGGTCAAAGAAGTCACATTTTCCATATGCACTGTCGTATTCCTTCTGTGCTTTCCCTAATTATGCCTCGCCTCTTTTGCTAAAACAAAACAAACAAACAAGAAACTGCCTTGTATGAATTCCCAAAAGTGTATTACTAGGTCAAAGGGCATACTCATCCTATTCTTCAAGCAATGTATAAAAAACTATTTCCTTATACCCTTACCAAAAAAAAGTATCTTTTTTCCTCTTATTTTGCCAATTTGGTCGGTGAAATGAGGTGTCATATTATTTCCGTTTTTACTTATTTGATCATTAGTGAAGTTATGTGTTTCATATTTTAAATGGACACTCCTGGTTGGGTTTTTTTTTTTTTTAATTTCCTACCGGTCTCTTTTGAGTTTGTAGGTAAGTATATGTGTGTATGTGTTTACCTCTCTGATATTCAGAATAGCTTTTTTATTTTTCTTCCTGAGACAGTGTTTCATTCTGTCACCCGGGCTGGAGTGGAGTGGTGGCGCGATCTCAGCTCACTACAACCTCCGCCTCCTGGGTTCAAGCAATTCTCCTGCCTCAGCCTCCTGAGTGGCTAGGATTACAGGCGAGCGCCACCACGCCTGGCTAATTTTTGTATTTTTAGTAGAGACGAGGTTTCACTATGTTGGCCAAGTTGGTCTCGAACTCCTGACCCCGTGATCTGTCCTCCTCAGCCTCCCAAAGTGCTGGGATTACAGATGTGAGCCACTGCGCCTGGCCCCGAATAGCTTTTAACTGGCAAATATTTTGCAAAAATTTTCTCTACTTCTTTTAACTTCTTTTTTTTTTTAATTTTGAGATGGAGTCTCGCTCTGTTTCCCAGTCCAGAGTGAAGTGGCACAATGATGGCTCACTGCAACCTCTGCCTCCCGGGTTAAAGGAATTCTCCCACTTTAGGCTCCCAAGTAGCTGGGATTACAGGCGTGTGCCACCACACCCAGCTGATTTTTGTGTTTTTAGTAGAGACAGGGTTTCACAATGTTGGCAAGGCTGGCCTGGAACTCCTGACCTCAAATGATCCCCCTACTTCTGCCTCCCAAGTGCTGGGATTACAAGCATGATCTACCACACCAAGACTCATTTCAATTTGGTACATTACATCTTTCTACAACAATAATGTGAACATATGTAAAGAGCATAATTTGTTTTAACAGGTATATTCTGTGAAATCACCAACATAGTGGAAATAAACATATCCACTATCACTCCCAAAAAGCCTCATCATGCCCCTTTTTAACCCCTCCTACCTACTCCTTTTTACCTGCCATCGCCACCCGCATCCCCCAGGTAACATTTGATGTGATTTCTATCTCTTTAAATTAGTTTGCAGTTTCTAGAATTCCATATAAATGAAATCATAAAGTATGTACTATTTTTTGTCTGACTTCTTTTACACGGCATAATTATTTTGAGATTCATTCATATTGTAGTGTATATCTGTAGTTTGTTTTATTGCTGAGTTACAGTCCATTGTATTTATCACAGATTATCCATTTATTTGTTGAGGTACATTTGGGTTGTTTCCAATTTTGGCTATTAAAGCTACTGTGAACATTTGCATACAGGGCTTTGTATTGACATATGCTTTCATTTTTCTTGGGTAAATACTTGAATATAATGGCTACATCATATGATAGGTGTATGTTTAACTTTTTAAGAAACTGCCCAATGTTTTCCAAAGTGTTTTACCATTTTACATTCCCACCAGCAGTGTATGAAAGTTAACGGTCACTCCATATGTTAATGGCTAACATTAAAAAGACTGAGTTTTGAGACAGAGTTTCGCTCTTATTGCCCAGGCTGGAGTGCAATGGCGCAATCTTGGCTCACTGCAACCTCCACTTCCCGGGTTCAAGCGATTCTCCTACCTCAGCCTCCCGAGTAGCTGGGATTACAGGCGCTCACCACCACACACGGCTAATTTATGTATTGTAGTAGAGATGAGGTTTCACCATGTTGGCCAGGCTGGTCTTGAACTCCAGACCTCAGGTGATCTGCCCACCTCTTATGGGTTTTAATTTGCATCTCCCTAATGAGTAGTGATAGTATGCATCTTTCTTTTGCCGTCCATCCATCTTACTTGGTAAAGTGCTTGTGTTCAAATCTTTTGTCCATTAAAAAATTGGGTTTTCTTATTTTCTTATTATTAAGTTTTGACAATTCTTTATGTTTTCTGGATCCAGGGGTCCCATTATGAGACATAATTTGCAAAGATTTTCTCCCAATATGTTGCTTGTCTTTTGATTTTCTCAAGTATCTTTCAAAAAGCAGACATTGTTAATTTATGAATTTTTCCTTTGATGGATTGTGCTTTGGATTATTAACTAAAAAATTTTCATCTAACCCGGGGTCACAAATATTTTCTCCTGTACCTTCTTCTAAAGGTTTTATTATTGTAGATTTACCTTTAATTCTATAACCTATTTGGAGTCAGTTTTTATACAGGTTGTTAGTATGGACCAAATATATCTGTTTTCTTGCATATTTGGATGCAGTTGTTCCAGTACCATTCATTGAAGACAATTATTTCTTCATTGGATTGCCTTTGTACTTCTACCAAATCTCAGCTGTCCATAAATATGTGGGTCTACTTCTGGGCTTCCTATTCCATTGCACTGATTAATTTGTCTATCTCTGTGCCAGTATTGCACGGTCTTGATAACTGTAACTTTATAATAAAGTTTGAGATTATTTTATGCTAGCTCTCCAGCTTTGTCCTCCTTTTTCAAAGTTGCTTTGGTTATTCTGGGTCCTTTGAATTCTCATATGAATTTTAGATTAAACTTCTCAACTTCTGTTTCTAAAGAAAAATGTTGAGTCTTCTGATTTATAAACACTGTATATCCCTTCATTGTGTCTTTATGTCATTATTATTTTGTCATTTTCAGTGTACAGGTCTTATATATCCTTTGTTGGATTTATCCCTAAGTATTTCCCCTTTTTTTTTTCTTTTTGAGATGGAGTCTTGCTCTGTCACCCAGGCTGGAGTGCAGTGACACGATCTCAGCTCACTACAACCTCTGCCTCCCAGTTTCAAGCGATTCTGCTGCCTCAGCCTCCCAAGTAACTGGGATTACAGGCGTGTGACACCACACCTGGCTAATTTTTGTATTTTTAGTGGAGACAGAGTTTCACCATGTTGGCCAGGCTGGTCTCGAACTCCTGACCTCAAATGATCCACCCACCTCAGCCTCCCAAAGTGCTGGGATTATAGGCGTGAGCCACTGCACCCGGCCCTATTTCACATTTTTTATGCTACTATGATATTTAAATTTGATTTTCTTTTTCCTTTTTTTTTTGAGATGGAGTCTCGCCCTGTTGCCCCAGCTGGAGTGCAGTGGCACGATCTCAGCTCTCTGCAACCTCCACCTCCCAGATTCAAGCAGTTCTCTGCCTCAGGCTCCCAAGTAGCTGGGACTACAGGTACCCACCACCATGCCTGGCTAATTATTTGTACTTTTAATAGAGACGGAGTTTCACCATCTTGGCCAGGCTGATCATGAACTCCTGACTTCTTGATCCACCTGCCTTGGCCTCCCAAAGTGGTAGGATGACAGACATAAGCCACCATGCCCAGCCTTGATTTTCATTTATTCATACACAGAGACATAATCATTTCAGGCCAGGCACAGTGGCTCACACCTGTCATCCCAGCACTTTGGGAGGCCAACATGTGTGGACCGCTTGAAGCCAGGAATTTGAGACCAGCCTGGTCAACGTGGCAAAATCCTGTCTCTACTGAAAATATAAAAATTAGCCAGACATGGTGGTGCATGCCTGTAATCCTAGCTACTTGGGTGACTGAGGCACGAGAATTGCTAGAAGCCAGGAGGCAGAGGTTCCAGTAAGCCAAGATCATGCCACTGCACTCCAGCCCAGGTGACAGAGGGCAGAGTGAGACTCTGTCTCAAAAAAATAAAAAAGAAATGTAATCATTTTATGCATTGATCTTCTGTATTTTTAATAAACTAATAAGTTCTAGTAGCTTTTGTAGATCCCATTGAATTTTTTGACAGATGATTATGTTGTTTGACAATAAAAAGTCTTACTTCTTCCTTTTCAGTCTTTATGCTTTTTTGTTTCTTTTTTGTTTACTGCACCTGTACAGCATCTGGCACAATGTTTTTGTTTGGTTTGGTTTGGTGTTGTAAAGAGAG